CTGCTGATACTATGCAGCACCACGTCCGACAGTATCTTGACGTGTCTACATATATCCTTCGTGATCTACGTTCCTGTGAAGTCACACCAGTATGTCCATAGAGGCACAGAGCAAGATGCAAGAATCCTGACTTTTCTCTGCAAAGCCCCCAATCTCTAGCAGCCATTCGACTTGTGGTCATTTGATGGTCCTCTGTGTAGATGCGCATATGCACGACGTGCCATTCAATGTTCATGCACATCCCCTCTGTTGTTGATTCGAGAGGTCATGCGGCGTCACAGCTCCTAAACCATAAACATCCATAAACCCTAAAACGTCCACTTAATGACTGTGCCCGCCCTCTCACCGCCGCGGCCTGCATCGCCTTTGATGAGTCTGAGAGCCTGGAGTCTCGCTTACGGACATATGTGTATACGTATAAATACATATTTTATATTGTATGTGTGTGTATATAAATATATATATATATATATATATATATATTTGTATATGCGCATACTAACGTTGTATAGCAGGTAGCTGCTGGCCGAGCTTAAAACTTTTCAAGGGTTTTCCAAGACCAGGACAGATCAGGTTTAACGGAAAGACCTAGCAGCCAAAGAGCAAGACTGAGAATCGGCCACGTCATTCTGCACCTACTGTCGGAACTGCGACATTTTTGATACTCATTGCAGCGACCCGTAAGCCAGAACGGGTCATATCAAGACATGCCCATGTCATGTTGGCCAGAGGAACTCTCGCATCCAGTTGGTCGATCATCGCGATAGGCCGCAGGCCACCTGTGTTCTCTGGAGATCACATCAGTATAGCTGTATTGGGTTCAGGGTTTAAGGCTATAGGTAAATGCGGTCGGGTTTCGTAGGATGCAGGCGGTTCTGGGGTGTATAAGGTACAGGTAGGATTCATAGTGCTTGCCTACGGACCAAAGGACATGGGCCACAAGTTTGTATCGCATCGCCCAGCAGGGCCTGCCGGTTTTGGAAAGTTTATCCGTGTTTAGAGGGATCACAGGGATTGGGCCACAAGCCCGTATCGCATATTGCAACAGGGAACATCTGGTTGTCTAGAGATGAAGAGTCATGACGATAATCATACAATTCCAAACTGCTGGATCTCTTCCAAATCGCTCAACGTAGTTCGATCCAGGTTGAGGGCTACCGGCTCCTGATGAACCCCCCAAGGGCGACGATTTTTGAGTTCAATCTGTCATGGCTTTGCTGCCAGGGCTGTGGATATATCGAGTTATTCTAGAGCCTTCATGTGGCAGCACTGCAGGACAAAGGAAAGCTGGGAAAAACCATGCAGTGGCACCTCGGCGATCATTGCGCAGCCATGCATTTAGCAAGCTGGGAACGACACGGGTGCACCAAGTTTATTGACGCAGTTCCTGCATCGCATCCACATCTGCCTAAAACTGTCACAGTATATCAGGCTTCCAATGGCCATGTGATTTTTAATTAAGAGACTAAAGGTTCACCTGAAGCTCATGGCCCCAGCTGCAGGGATGTAGCCTCAGTAATGTCAGCAAACATGTGTGTATGTATATATATATATAGATAGATATACACAATGTTTATAATATTAGAAATAAATACATACATATGTATTTTTAATATATGTACTTCAGAGCTGATGCTGGGAAAGGTGTTGCATACTGCAGTTCTGAGTTGCAGGATCGACACCCACTCTTTCAGTTTTGACCCACTCCTCGCTCCTGTGCAGGACTCGTGGTGTTTTTTTTTGTCATGATCGCACTGCTTCCATGACATCTTGCGCTTGCTTGCATCCGAAAAGTACAAAAGCAACTCCAGAAAGCTCCAATCCTTTCTACATACGTTTTGATGAGGGGTCCAGGTGGTCCAGACCCGAGTCCTGACAACAGCCTTGCCTGAGGTATGGCAGCATGATGAGATGGAAAGTCCGACTGGATGATGGTATCCCGGCAAGTGGTGTTCAATTGTTTTCAAGAACAGCAACACAACTGCTGCTACTACTATTGCTGCTAGTAGGACGAGTAGTAGTACGAGTACGAGTACGAGTACGAGTACGAGTACGAGTACGAGTACGAGTACGAGTACGAGTACGAGTACGAGTACGGGTACGGGTACGGGTACGGGTACTAGTACTACTACTACTACTACTACTACTAC